TTCGCTTCATTTAAGAAATAGAAAAAAAGGAAAGGAATACGAATAAACAAATAAAATAAGTGAAATGTAAGAAACTAATGTGAAGAAAGAAAAATACTTATACCCTACTCCGCTTGTTAAGCTTGAAATAGACCTGTCTTCTATTACACCGACCTATTCAGAATTACTTTGTTCTCTAAGTCTAAGCAAGTCCCGCCGTCTTGCATATTTCTGTTGAGCAATGTTTGAGACATTCTGATGGAAATTGGTACACTGACAAGTTATGGCGCAACGACAAATGCTGTTAAAAGCGCTTCATAACCGTCCATTTTTTCGACCACTTCAAATACGACGCTTTCGTTGGGAAAGTCATTTTGTGCACAACTATAGGGTAGTGTAAAGTACATTTAACGAAGGGTCATGGTCCGACATCACGCTTCCCCTTGTTTTTCTTATTAAATGGTTTGAATCCGGATTTTCAGGACTTTGCTCTTAGCATAACAATTCAATCATTGGCTCAGTGGAAATATATGCAAATTTTTGACACAACATATATTTATTTTTTTCAAAACATAGACACACAGTTACACACATACACAGTTATGCACTTACAGACTTATGTATCTATCTGCAAATCCTGCTTTTTTTCATATGTACACTGATCATATATAAGTGGTGTTTATTACTTAAGCTGAAATGCAAATTTACAGCCATTTGTAGTTTATTGTGTCGCTTGGAATTCCTGTCTTATAAATAGCGCAAAAAAAAAATGCAAAATAACACAAAAAGAAGAATAAAAATTGAATATTTTTGTATTGTGTCTGAGCAAATGAGAAAAAAATTTCGCGGAAGGAAAATCCACTTGCATACGTATACATGTGCGCAGATTCATGTATTTCCTTGTGTGGTCCTATAATGTATGCCTCGCTACAATATTTGGGTTATATTTATGGGTTTGTTTTCCTTTCTCTTCTGTTTCCTTTTAAGCCGGGAAAAAAATATTCTTTTATTGCTTGGCTTTATTAAGGCAAATAAGTGCGTGGCTGTGTAGGTCTATGTGTGTGTGTGTGCGAGTCTGTGCTATTATGTATGCATATCAGAAGGTGTTCATAAGTGCACATTATTTTTCATAAGCCATAATTTTGACAAAATTATTTACGCCATAAACTACATTTTTTTTTTACCCGTTTATTATGATCATAATTTCTGTCTTATTGCAGAGAGTATATATCCGCTAAAGAAGTACATTTTTTACACTTAATTAAATGATAGACCATTTTCTATGCTCTAAGTTAAATAATTCTTATTGCTCCAAATATGTGCATTATTATTCCACAAAATCATATTACGTCGGTAAAATGTTTTCAACGCCTAGAAGTATGCAATTTCGACTATATGAATTGTGCGAGCTCTTAAAAGAAAAAATTAACTCCCTGGAGATTCTAAGACTATTTTTAAAATAAGAGATAACAGCAGAGAGAGCTAATAGCAGAGAAAATCAACTTTATTCTTCAAATAGAAGCCTGTGCGCATCTTTTGGACTTTTGCAATTTCTGTTAACATAACCTCAATGAGCTTATCTTTAAACTCGAAGCCTCTGGCTTCCCTTTCTACTTAGTGAAATGGATAAGCTCTTATCTGCACAATAGATCCTTCAGAGTTTTGTTTAACTTCATCAGCTCGGATGAATTAACCGTTATGTCTGGCGTACCTCAAGGAAGTCACTTAGGTCACATTTTATTTCGTTTATACATTAATGATCTTCCATCGGTGATTAATTCCAACTAGATCTTAATGTATGCTGATGATGTGAAACTGTTTTCTTCTTTCTCCGTAGAATCGCAATCCCATCAGCTTCGAAGTGGCTTGAATAACTTGGTTGCATGCGGCTCTTTGGATATTCTGAAACTAAATCGAAATAAATGTAAGAAGCTTTCTTTCTCAAGAAGGAAGTCATTACTCAGTATTCACTCAGTTTTACTCAGTATTTCATTGATTTGCACAAGTTGGAGGACGTCATATTGAGCTCTCATTAAACAAAGCTAGGTCCGGGCTTGGTTTTATAAGGAGGTGGTCCAAAGAGCTTGATGATCCGTATATTACGAAGAGGCTGTACATGCGCTTGGTTAGACTTATACTCGGGTATGCCTCTGTTATGTGGTCTCCTTCATATACGTGCTATGTAGATTCAATTGAACCTTTTCAAAAGCAATTCTTCCTGTTTGCCCTTAGGAGTTTGGGTTGGGGCCCGATTGCCTATCTTCCCCCTTATGAAAATAGGTTGCTTCTATTATCCTTACCGCCACTTGAGAAACGTAGACTTGTTCATGGGGTTTCCTTCTTAATCAAAGGGGTACTATGGACTCGCCCGCATTACTTCGTGAGATAAGCTTATATGTCCCTAAGTGCCTCTAGGCACTTTATGTTAATTAAGCTTAGTCAATGTGAACACAATTATGATCTGTTTAATCCGCTCAGAGTTGTTTGCAGAAACCTAAATGATGTCTAATACTTATCCCCATTATCCGACTCCTTACAGTCTTTTAGCGCAACTTTGCTTAATGTGCCTAATATACCTACGTCATACGTCATTAAACTAACATTTCATTCTTAATATCTAATTTGTTTTATTTAAAATAATATTGTGTTGTTAACGTGTCGGTTGCCAAGCTTATGCATGTTTGCAATGGTTTAGGGATTCACTTGCAACCTGCATCTGTTCTTGTTGCGGATGTGCTTCTGTGCTAGCTATGTATATGATATTCTTTTTTCTCTCTTTCTATTTACTTATACATGAATTATTATTTGTAACTTTTTAATTTATTTTTAAACTTACTTTGTTTTATTCTTCTTCTTATTTTTTCTTCCTTTTCATTGTATACTAGTTTTAAAACAATTACTATAAGATTTTCTATTCAGACGCGCTGAATTCGACTGTAATTTTCTTTAGTTAAATTTCATGTATAAATGGGTAAATAAATAAATAAGTAAATAAGTAAATAAGTAACACAAATAGGATTATTACTTCTTAGCAGCCGTTTAATTGCTTTGCCTTTTATTTTTATTGTATGTGTGGGCAAAAATGATGTTAAATTCTATTTTTTGATATGATGTCGCTATATATCAAATGTTTACGAAGCAATTGTAAACGCATTTCCACGTTTTTAAATGCACATACGATGTGTTCCGGTATAGGTATTTGCGCGAAAACGCCTGAGACGTTCCTCCTTATATGAAACACATTAACAGTCAGAAGTATGGGTCTACCGCAATGAGATTGCCACCCGCGAACACCAACTTGGTAGTGGCGACTGTTATCTGCACCGCTATATGGTAAACCATATTATTTAATGTAATATATTGGCACATACACGTGTATTCTAACATATTTTATAGAATTTTCCACCCCACCCATGAGATATTGCATAAGGCACATGAATATGTTCTCGGCCTGGTTGTCATCATTTTTATTAATTCAAAGAGTGTCCAGGTTTGTTTTAAAAATTGGCTTTGGAATTTCTTATTATCATGTTATCTTTAATCTCTCTATGTGTGGAATGGTCGAAAAGGTGGTCCGATACGAACCTTTTTGAACAGCTTTCGTCCACGTGTCAACAAATGTCGACATACAAGCTTAGATCGATGCAGAAAGTGATTTTTAACCGGAAGTGTCCATCTCAAAACCTTTCTGGATATTGCATACATGCGCACGAATTTAATACACTGCTTTAACGCAAGTCTTCTAGGATATAATAAAAGCGGAGCTACTTTGGAAAGTTCCTTAATTTTACCGATATTTTCTCAAAAGGGTATTTTCCAAAACTCCTTTCCTCCCTTCCCCACAGCAGGTGAGGCATTCAGGCCTTTTAACTTAAAGCATGCACTCTCCTTTTGGTTAAATCATATTTTATGGCATCATATTCTATCAATTTATCGCAGAAACCTACACGGCGTCTTTGCGTTGCCCGATTGTTAAGATGGTTTCATGCAAACTTTGTTTATTTGACCGAATATGGTTGGGATTGTAGATAATTCTGGGTGTAAAGTTTACCGTACCAACTTGTCATTCTAGTGTTGTCCTATAGAACTCTTTATGATCAAACGCATAAAAATTTGTAGAAAACATTTTCGCTCTTTTTTATAGCATTTTTTAACCCTCCGGACGCTTTTTTTAATATGACCAATTATCCATGGCGTCAAACCTATAGGTGTAGTGATCCTATTGTGGTCAAGTAGGAGAAAGGGAAGAGAAAAAGGTAGACAGATGACGGCCGCAACTTAGTGGTTGTGTGCCCAATCGCTAATGATGTGCCTGAGTGCTTAATACCACCGCGCTATGACAATGCACTGTCACATCTAACTGAGTTTTGGACCACGCGATCATCAACTTGGTCGTCACGACTTTTAGCGACTCGGCTATATGTCAGTGGTGAAAAGAGGTGTAATCAAGCGGGCAAAATCGCAAAGTGGTCAAATGGAACAAAACACATACTTGGCATTCCATAAAATTACTGCTCTTTGTTCTGTTTAAAAATTGCTCGTTAAGACAGTCGTTACGTTTTTTAAGATTACGCACAATTTTTTATGAAAGCTTTGACGTACTTATGCCAAAAAATCACACTCCGTACTGAATATATTCTTTGTGAGTGGGCGTACAAGAAATAAAATAAAAGAAAATACCTTTACATGTTTTACCCGAAATTGATGTTTTATTCGTATGTAATTTACGCAACCTCAGGGAGGTGGTTGCAATAAGCGATTTTATGATTACGGTTGTGCCGTTGAGCCTTTTAAGAACAACAATAAAACCTCTATAATCTCACAAATTTTTACAAACAATTACTTGTGCAAAAAAAGGTATTAAAAAGTGAAGAAGAATTACATAAACATTTATCAAACCCTCTGTTCCCTGTTAAAAATTTCAAACATGCGTGTACTGTACGAATTGTTTAGGTATATATATAAAAAAAAAGCAAAAAAACCATTGTTTAACTAAGCGAAAAACTTTACTTTTTCCTTACCTTTCCACTTAGCACAGACCGTGCGGCTGATATCTCACTTGGTGGCACCGTACCTGATTCGGTGCCCAAAGTTTTAATCACATTCGATAAACCGGAAGGTACCGATAATCCATGCGAGTTTTCCGCTCTTACTAGAAACACATATGACGTGGCCGGCTTTAAGCCAGATATCTATGAAATGAGAGAGAGCGAGAGAGGATGAGAAGACAAGAGTAGAATAAAACCAAACTATTGTTATAAAACTATGCAACATTTTTTAATTACAACTAGTTGTAGTTTTTGGTAACAAAGTTTTGAAAAAAAAAAGTAAAATTAAAAAAAACTCTGCACACATGTATATGAAAATGAAGCAAAAGTTTTGTAATAAAAGTCGAAAAAACTGCATTTTTTTTTTAATTTTTTTGTTTTTTTTACGGTAGTGTGAAAACTATTAAAGGATTAACTGCCGATTTTTTGTATGTTGGGTAATCAAAGGAAAAAAGTTTAGTATATTTTGTGTCTTTCATTTGCGGGGTGAAGGTAAAAGGTTGAGCCGATGGACTCATATCTGTGGTAACCTGTGAAAATAACTTTCGAATAATTCGCGTTATAGAAATTGCTCAACTTACCATTACTTGCTGGTCAGGCACGCGATGTGCAGCAATAACCCAACCAGTTTGCAAATCGGAACTAAAATACTCCACCGTGTAACTGCAAAGAGAAAAAAAAAACCAACGGATTAATGTGGCAAAACAAGAACTCAATTTTTCCTACTCTGAATGTGTTATTGTGTCCTAGCAAGTGCTCGCGGAGATTTTTGTTTTCTTTCTGCTACGGATTGTACATAGTTTTTCATCGACTCAGATAGTCTAAAAGGTGTTTGTTTTGTCTTTAAGAAACCGCCTTAAAGTTCCCCTAATGCGTTAGCTTAAGCTGAACTTTCTGATAGTGTTTGATAGTAGTTACTAACTGTCGTATGGGGTATCTTATATTTAAAAGCAATGTACTGTGCCTTACCGCGGACCCGAATGAACTGCGCCATGTCTTATAACCTTAAAATTTCGCGTAAGCTAATTAGCCATTCCTTGCGGAAACACAGTTCTGCCGCCAACGTTCTCAAAAATTTGGCTGCCATTACCTACGGACGACAATGTAGGAAAAGACGAACAACGCCTGTCCGAACGCATTCGTATGTTAGCTGGAAGGAAGTCATCTACACAATGAATGTGTGCTATAAATTTCGATTTACGAAAATTCAACTGAATCCTCCATAATTTACTAGACGTGGATTGCAAATTTAACTGATTTCCTATGAACCTGCGCTATAGAAATTCGAGATTCTTCTGAAGATTTATCAGTAATGAATAACAAAGTTGAAGTTTGGCATATTCGTAATATTTTCGATACTATAAAACTGCAAGAAAGGATACTTATGTGCTTACGATGCTTATCACACGCGTGTAAGTGAAACCGTTAATAAAAAGTGATAATTAATAGATTGGCTGCAAAGAACGAAAATAGTAAAGGATATTGAGCATAGCAACGAAAAATTGTGAAAAGCTATGTAGTACGTTCGGAGAAGGATGGAAGGACGATCCCGTCCCGTACAGTGCTTATCAACAATGAAAAAATTATCCTGCTCTACGTTAAAACTTAGCCCTGGTTCCCAGGCAACAATTTGTGTTTACACGAAATAAATCGAGGTCGAGGAATGAAAATATTTTACAATCTTTTGTGAAACTAACAGACTTAAGGCCAAAAGGATTATGTAAAAAGTCATTGTCTAGAAACGTGATAGATTTGGATTTTATTTTATTTCTAATATCACCAATCACTTGGGAGATGTCATCTATAGGAGTGACACTTTGGCGCTCATAAATAAGTAGGGAAAGAGAGAGTAAGATAGCGAATGGCCGCAACCTAGTGTGGGTGTTTTACCCAATTCGTAAGTATTATGCTTAACCAGTCACTATGTTTCCATCCGACCAGGTATGGTCTACCACCGAACATAGACTTGATAATCGCGACTCTTATTTAGTCCCTTACGCAATTGTCCATACGGGCGAAAAATAAAGTGAGGGGCCCACAAACAAGCACACGTCAACAGAAATCAACACAGAACAATTCATTCGTATTCATAGGTAATAGCATGAGCGCTCAACACTTTTTAGTTTACACATTATTATTATTATTTTTAATCAAATTGCAAACCGTTTCTGAAAATAATTTACGTATACTAAACTCCTTTACAAATATTTCATATTCCCGACAAAGGAATCTGTTCGGTTTTTGTATATAATTGCACACCAGCAAACAAAAATTAAAAAGAAAATAAATAAACAAATAAATTTCCCTTACCCTACGCTTTCCTTCAGGTAGAATTTCATTATATGCTAATTTAAATTAATCTACAATTTAACATCGCTAACAACGCTTTCGTTTGTCCGTCCAAACCTATTTTGCGTACATTCCAACCTTTAGTGTTTTTTTTTCTTCGTTTCTTCGTTCGTTGCTTTTCGTTTGTTGGCTGCTTTTGTTCATTGGAAATACATGGAAAAAGTGCCACTGGCCTACAGCACTCTAATGCAGCCTAAACATGCAGTTTTGTGTAGATTTTTTCACCGTTCAAAGTCAGACATTTTCGTTTAACTTTATTGTGGGCTATTGTCCGTAATCAGTGGTGTTGTGTTCACTTGGCATGCAACAGGAATGGTAAGTAAACTGACCAACAACGATCAGCAATAGACCGACAGACCTACTCATCTACCTACGAAAATTTATATAACTAACGCCAACATCGCCAACTGACAGACGAAAGTCGGCCTTAACCACACACCACATCGCATCACCTTACCATTGCATATGCATTTGCTAATACAGTATTTGGTGATGGCTTTCGAATGAAGGAAAAAAATGCTTAAAACTGCACGAAACTTCCTAATGCTAATCATTAGGTTAGTTGTAGAAGAAACGTTTTCGTATAACCCAAACCAGACACTTTTTTTTTTTTTTCAAAAAGAAAGCCTTGCGGCAGTTTTCTACTATCTTTTTTTATTTTTTTATTTTTTTTTTTTGGGAACGATAATATGAGATATAAAAAACTTCTAGTCTTAGTGTAACAAAGGCTATAGTCATTGCTAGTTGAACGGTCAGTATGTCGGACTTGGTTGTGCCATTGAAAATCAAATGCATTCAACGGCTAAACGGACAACAATGCAAACGGTTACAAATCTATATGCGAACGAGACAGGATAGACAGGCGTACAGTCGTCAAAGCATGGTAGATAGAAAGAGCGATGTAGAGAAAGATAGAAAAGTTATTGTGTTGGAAGCACGCGCTGAAATCTCGTGCATAAGCAAAGTTAACTTAAGGGAAAGAGAGAAAGAGAGAAAGAGATAAAGACAGAAAGAGAGAGAGGGAGGGAGAAAGAGCAAAATGTAGTGCAGAAGACAGAAAGCAATGATAGAGAAACATGACAAACATGGCAGAATTGCTGCACAGCTGTGACTACACACCTACAAGCACGCGGTAGATGTCCACGGAAAATCCTTAATAAGGCAAATGATAAACGGACTAAAAATAGATGAAAATTTCGATGAAACAAAATTTAGTTAACCAAACGGTCATAAGGCCTAATGCTCTGCACGTAGCTGCATACAACTAAAAACACTTTTTAAAGAAAAAATTTTTTAAACCGTAATTGAAGTAATTTTAATTAAAACAATTACTGCTTCTACTTTGTTGCTCTTTTTACGCTCTTTTTTTCAATTTTTTCCTTAATTTTTATTTTTGCACTTCTTCTGAACGCAACCAATTAAATTGAATTGCTAAGGAATTTTTAACTCTAATGAAATCACTTTATGCAAACACATAGCCCAAGCACAGACATAGACATAGACCTCGCACCTCACACCTCCCATCGAAGCCTCGAAAAAACGAAAAATAATAATGTTTTCTCAATAAAGAAAACACAAACCGAAGGTAATAAACAAAAATGTTGCAAAAGGAAAAAGTTTGTCGTTGGCACAAACACATTTATTCATGCATACATATGCATAAATATGTATAAATGCACTCAAAGGAAGGAATGTAAGTCAAGTGAATACTTCAATCAGTCCAGTGATGCATGTAATGTTTACTTGGAAACTTTAACACACATGTATCAAAACTCTGCAAGAGTGTATGAATATGTTTACTTTGTTTACTTTCTTTAGTTTTTTTTCTTTTTTTCTTTTTCTACTTTTTTGCTTGACTTTGCCCGATCACTTCTCAGGCCTCGCCTGCATAACTCTTGCATTGTCTTTGTTACAAAAAAAAAAAAAAAAAAAAAAAAAAAATTCAAAAAGACACTAAACCAAACACGCAAACAAGATAATAAAAAAAAACAAAGACAAACTTACCCAATAATTGGACTTGTCGCTCCTGGCTTCTCTTGACTTCTCGACCATCGCAATGCTATGCTGTTCTGTGTTACGTTCACCACTTTGGGTGTACCGGGCGGTGCTGGATACGTACTCGGGTCCGCAGAACGATGCATTGTTGATGAGCTACTTTTTTCCACCTGATGTTAATTGTTGTCGTTGTTGTCGTTGTTGTCGGTTTCCCAAATATCACATGCATGCATTCATTTTCAACAAACACCGCACAACAATGAGAAAGAAAAGAATGAATGGCAACAAAAAATGAAGAAAGAACGAAAACAAAAATACTGTTATTGTTGTTTAAATGATATGCAAAAAGTGAAAATAAAAAACGAATATCATTTCTCTTCTTCTTGTTGCTGCTGTTGTATTTTTGGTTAATTTTAACAATAATAATAACAACAACAACAATAACAACAACAAATGCAACAAAGAAGTAAAAAAAGAGAAAATTTATGTAGTTGCATGTCATTATTTTGTTTATATCGTTGTTGGACTAAAAGCTATTGTTGTTGCTATTGTCATGCTCTTGTTGCTGCCGTTCTGTCCCTTTTGACATTAACTGTGATTGACATTTTATGTTGGATAATTTGTTAACATCGATTTTTATGTAAATTACTTTTGTTCAAAAAGAGGAAAGATTTTTATACATATTTTTTGTTTATATTCTTTAAAGGATTCTTCTGGATGTGAAAACAGAAAAAAGTTCGCAGGAAAATTTATAATCGATAATAAACGTTGCTTAGCTATGAAACACAGGAGTTTTCCTAAAATATTACGAAAGGCATATTTTAACAAAAAAAAAAAACATATTTGCATTAGTTGAAAAGAAAAGGATGACTTATAGCCGCCGATCGAATATCGAATCGCACTGAGGAGTAGTTAACTTACAGTTCCCAAAAAAGTCTGCATTTTTCTTTCTATAGAACGGAAAATTTTTCGATCATAACATTACTATCGAACGACACATTAAAATTCCAATTTTGTTCACCCGAAAAATTTCGAAAAAATTCTCTTACGTACTCTAACTCCTTGCATTCGTGAAGTTTTTTTTTTAGCCACTATTTCCTTAATTAATTTGCAAAGAACGCAATAAAAAAATGTTTAAATATTCGTAGGGCGATACATTTACAGTTTGAAAAAAAATTGAATAAGATGCCGAGATGCAGCCGACATAAGAATAAACAGGGTTAACACTTGTAGCCTTGCATGGAAAAATCCTTACTTTAAGAATTCCTTTCGGTTTTTTTTTTTCTATATCCTACATCACAAGCAACACAAGGGTATATTAGGTTTGTGCGAATGCATGCGAATGCACACCCAGACCTAGACTTGAGATAGGCCGGTTGATCACAGAATTCTACCCGTTCTGTATTCTTGTGTTTGAGATATTTTAATGAAACTTGATACATCGACGTGCTTTGGCTCAAGATTCGAATCGGACTACTTTTGAAAAGCCGTTATATGAATAATTGCTCTAAGCAAAGTAAGGTTTAAGGTATTCAGTAGTGGCCCATGGGCCACTGCGCTATTTTCATTCGTTTTCAATTAAAATTTTAAGAAAATGATTTTTTTTTTTGGGGGGGAGAACAGAATGTTATTCCCTTGAGGCAAAGACTATTACAAAATTGAGTAGAGTAATTTCTTATCCTCTCTACAATCAGCATCTTTGATAATAGTTGAAAGTAATGATCATTTTTAGGTTGTTTGTATGCAGGATTTTCATTATCGCTTTCGCTTCTGTCATTTACTCGGAATAAATTAAGCAATGAAAGAGTTATGTTCTTAATATTTTCAAAGCAAATAACGCAGACAAAGCTTTTAACAAAATTGCGGTACTTTCCATAGATTTCATCCCCGGGTTAACATCACCTCAGTGTACCAAATTTCATCGAAATATCTCCAAAAATACGTGCACACGACAGCTAGACGGACAGATAAGTTTGGAGATCGGTATAGTAAAACGTGGGGCTACCTTAAACCTTCCCACATATGACCGCACAAACTTAATAAAAAAAGCTGTGTCACAAGTGGTTTAAGGTATAAACATGTTTTTAACTGAAGACGTTTGCAACATCTCGATGTTAGAAACCAGTTAAAGTATATATATTTTTGCTCAGCATCAAATTTTGAAACTACATCAGCACGGCCGTCTGTTGGTCTGCCAGCCTGCCTAGCTGTGTAGCATCCGCGGTGAATATTTTCCAGTTCAAAAAGGCGATGGCATCGTCTACAAATTTGCTAAGAACTTAAAAATGGCTCACCCAGTCAAAGGCCACGCCTACAATGCCACCAAAACCAAGCATATTTTTACTTTCAATACTTTTTTTGCTCGGTACTCATAAGCTACAACATATATTTTTATTGCATAAGAATAAAAAAAATCAACCACGCCTATTCAACATAATAGAATATTAAAATTTAATTGTTTGTTTCTTCAGAGCCCATTACAATTTTATTATATGATAAGTAACTCTTACGGAATATCTACAAGTCAACCTTTTAGAAAATGTTTAGAGAAAAGCGCAAAATAAATAAAACTTTTCTTAATCGCATTCTCTAGTTTCAAAGCCTTCTTCCTTCTTCTTTGTAAACAAAATAGTTTTTGAGATTTCAATTCATGTTCAAAATAGTTTGCAATAGAACACATGCCCCCCTAGAATTTAAGATTTTCGTAACCAGAAATTTCTTAACATTTTTCGAAATTTATAAAACAAAAAAAGTTCGCGTCGAGAAATTTATGGCCGCTTAAAAACTGACATCTGATCTATTTGTCTCAACATGTTGATGCACATGTATAACGATTTTATGGCTTAAGCAATAAATACTTTCACGAACACACGGCGGAGATACATTTCAATAGACACGCGCGTATGTTTACTGTCAATAATTTATTGGACAGTTTGCTATTAATTTTTTTTTCTTCCTCTACGACCTTCGCTGCCGAGTAGTCTTTAATATATGGTTTCGTTGTTTTTGCATTCATAGATCTTTTCCTTCCTTTTTTTTTTTATTATTTGCCTTCTTTTCATTCGTCCCCCGAAAGGCAATCAATTAGTTTAAAGTCGAAAACCACAAATTTTATGATTGATGTCTTACATCTCTCACTAAGCAGAGCAGAGAGTATGAACGAGCAAACGAACGAAAGACGCCTAGCGTAACATACATATAAATCGAAAAAGAAACACAAGTAAACTATTCTGAAATGATGTACTAGTTGCGGGCAGTGGCAATGTTGCGGATGCAATAGAATATTTACTGAATGTATGCTGAGCCGATGATGTTGTATCTATGGATGCTTTTATGATTATATGTTTATGTGTACGAATGCACACGTAGACAAACACTACAACTTCAGTAAGTGTTGCAAGTGTGGGTAAGGGAAAAGATAATCATAATAATGACTCATATGACTTTGTTTCCATACGGCACGCATTCATACATGCCTGTAGGTAGCAGTTAAAAAATTGTTATTGTTTTTCTTGTATGCTTGTAATGCTTCACGTTCAGTTTGCTTTTTTTCACATGCAAATCGATATATGCTATGCATTGGTATTTCGTGATTTGTTTTTTTTCTTCACATCCATAGTGCGTTGCGGGTAATATGATTAAAAAATCATTTCTTGCTTTTTATTCTGAGGGCGTGTGTGCCAATGTGTGAGGTTTTGCCAGCAAAAAGAAGGGTTATATTTATTTATTAAAGACAATCTCAAATATCTATCGTATAATGGAAAACTATTATAATGATTTCTCGATGTTTTCTTTCTTAAGAAGGACTGGCCCAAAAAATCTATTCATTATCACTGTTCAGGATTGAGCGGACAACTTCAGTTGATTAACACTTAACGGCTACTCTAGACGACAAGCTTTGTTGAAATTTGTTCTTGAGAAACCGGAGGGAAAATAAGCTTCTGATTAAAGTGAGCCAGATTTTCTTACTAGAAAAACCACGTAAGAATATTATATTCGATCGGCATCGAATCTTTTCCGTCATCATCACCGATGCTCTAAAAAAGACAGAAAAAGTAAAACAACTAAATTTCCAAGCCTTGTAATATGGAGGGGGCATGGCTAATTTTATTTTATTTTGAAAATAAAAGGTTTTTGCGGCATAGACGTGTAGGCGTTGTAGACGCGTCATTGAAAGAGTTTCAGTCACTTCCGAATTCGTTTGCGAATTTCTAGGAGATATCTTCATTTTTGCTAACGTGAGAATGTTTGCCACAAATATTGCAAGTTGAACGGACAGACAGATGGACAGATGCCCAGAGGAAGATGTTTAGGTGCATTGCAAACTTGCCAAGAATTTAAATATTTTATGATGTTTCGAAGCTTATTTCTGCGAGTTGTAATGGCACTGAAAAGAAAATTAAAGTTTGATAAGCTATAATATTGAATAGGCGTGGTCAATTTTTTTCCATTTGCACTTAGTTTACGAATAAGAGAGCAAAAAAACAATTTTTTATTCCATCTGAAAAGTAGAGGTGTTGTCCGTCCACGCAATACTGTGGGCGAGTCCTTCGAGCCATTTTCAATTCCAACCAGCGCGCAAGAACTTCTAATGTTTCTGCCAAATTTGAAGTCGATAGCTTCAATTTTTCGGCCAAGAGAAAGCCTACAACATTACAGCATTCCACAGACGGACAGAGGGACGTGATCAAATCGATTAGAATTTTATTGCTTAAAAAACATAAAAGTGTCAGCCTTTCTGCTCCAATCTTGGTTTGCATGCAAACGCTTTGAATATTAGAATTTAATCTGAAAACTCAATACTTTTTAGACTATTTAGGATTCTTCGATGTGCTTAATGCTGATATTAGTGTTATTGAATTATCAAGAGTATCATGTAAACAAGTTTCTAAGCTTTCAAAATTATGCTTGTGTTACTATTTTGTAAATAAATTTATTCATTGAAGAGCTTTTATTCTCAAATTATTATGCAGCGTCCAGCGCCTTCCTGCATATCATACGTAACTGCATTTACAAACAACTCCGAATAATTTATGTAAAATTCAAGATAGTAAACATTTGTTTAAGTTAAACCGAAAACGACTTTGGTGGTTTCTCTCTCGAATAGACGCAAACTTACACACACATAAGCAAGCGCATACCAGGCGCTTTAAAGCATATGTTTTAACATCTGTATGCACATATTTTATTAAGTTGAATTGACTTAATTAATATGCAGCCACACGTTTGTTTCATTTCGATTTTTGTTTACGGTTTTCCTTCCCGCCGTCGAATAACTTAGCTGAATATTTAGCAGAGATAATCACGTATGAGTAAAAATGTTTAATGATTTTCAAGAAATGTTTAAATAAAAAATTATTTAACAAAACAAAGGCAATAATTAAGTTGTCAACTTTTATAGAAGGCAACCGATTAAGCAGTTCGTACGTTATTTAAAAAGCGAAAAAAAAAAAAAGATCGAATGAAAAATTCGTAATTAAGAGAGACATAGTAACACTAAACAAATCTTTAGGAGAAGATGTCCGAATTTACTCTTCGCAAATAGAGAAAATATTAGTTTGGGGAAAAAGAAATCCATTATTTTTTCGGTAGATGGCTGCACTGATAGATTTCTCGTAAAGTATCGGTCAAACAATTTCAGATTTATGCTCGTTGGAAAGATGACATTTCGCAGTAAAAAAAATTCTTTTGCTGTTTTTTGTTTGGTGCATTCAGTTGTGAGTTACAGCGTGTTAAAAATGGAAGTGAACAAAGACAAAACTCGGTACATTTTACAGTTTTTCTTTGACAAAGGCGAAAATGCAAGCCAGGCGGCTAAAATTGTGAATGGTGTTTATGGTTCCGATACTGTAACAGCCAATTATGTGCAATTTTGGTTTCGTAGATTCCGTTCAGGAATTTTTGATGTTAAAAATGCACCTCGCACAGGTAGGCCGGTCGTCGAAAATGTCGATAAAATCGGAGAAATGATCGAAGTTGACCGGCATGTTAGCAGTCGTAAGATCGCCCAGGAGCTAAAAATCGACCATAAAACAGTTTTAAACCATTTACACAAAGCTGGATTCAAAAAGAAGCTCGATGTTTGGGTGCCACACCAATTAACAGAAAAAAACATGATGGATCGAGTTTCCATCTGCGAAGCCTTGGCCAAACGGAATGAGATAGACCCATTTCTTAAACGGATGGTGACTGGAGATGAGAAATGGATCACATACGATAACCCTGTGCGAAAACGATCGTGGTCAAAGAGCGGTGAAGCACCTCAAACGGCCAGGAAGGTTTTGCTATGCATTTGGTGGGACTGGAAGGGGATTATTTATTATGAGTTGCTTCCATATGGTCAAACGCTAAATTCTGATCTCCACTGTCAACAACTGGACCGTTTGAAGATAGCGATTGACCAGAAATGGTCAGAATTGGCCAACAGGAGAGGTGTCGTGTTCCACCAGGACAACGCTAGGCCACACACATCTACAGTGACTCGCCAGAAACTTCGGGAGCTTGGTTGGGAAATTTTAATGCATCCGCCATACAGTCCGGACTTGGCACCACGCGATTATCATCTTTTTCTTGCATTGCAAAATTTCTTTAATGATAAAAAATTGGAATCTAGGGAGGATTGTGAAAATCGACTACTAGAGTTTTTTGCAAATAGAGACCAGGACTTCTATGAGAAAGGCATTTTGAAGTTACCTTTAAAATGGCAACAAATCGTACAACAAAACGGTGCATATTTGACCCAAATCGGACAATCCGAAGCATGTTAAATAAAGTCCTGAAGTTCATATAAAAATAAGGGATTTCTTTTTCCCCAAACTAATAATATAATATAAATGAATCTATGGTGAGTGAGTTTAACTGCGATACGCTTCATTAACTTCACTTATTTTTTGCTTTCTTTTTTTTCTTAATGCTTTAAGCCACTTTAATGCGAGTTATTCATACAGCGGTTGCATCGGATGTGATAAGTTTATGAAATGTTTTTTATCGTTTCCTGCACCATTTGGGGTACAAGGGTTAAGTTAAAGCGAAACTTGAGATAAAGTCCTCTTTTATTATACCGATCGACTAAGAGTCGCTTTTTGCATTGATTTAAACTTGTCTGTCCGTCTGTCTCTGTTGTTCTCATGCCCTCAAGCCCCGGGCCGCTGTTTTTCGGATCACATTTTCGACCCAGTCCGTTATAAAACCTTATTTTGAAAAAAGGTGGTATAAATAAATCTATTAAACGAAGAGTATTTAACGATGGACCGTGTTCCACTATAATGTCTTCACCTGTTACGTTTACGTGTACACGTTCGCAAATACCTTTCCATTAGCGCAAAGTATATCCAACTTAGGCTAATTCTTATATATCCTTTCATGAAAGTATGTTGCGGACATTAATAAATTCTGTAAACTGGAGCCGGAGATAACTAAGATATTGACGTTCGTACAATATAAAAAAAATGTTCACTTCTTTACAAGCTGTCATTCAGCGTACATCTAAGTGTAACGAGATAGAAGTGGTCGTGTAAGAGATAGATGCGTTGTTTGTTTATTTTAAACTGAATTAATTCGGAAGCCAATGCAGATGCAATTACGGAAATGTTTAGGTTGACACGGAGTGCATGTGCAGCAAGCAATGAAACAGTTAAAAAGTAGTAGGCGGGATTTGAAAACGATAAAAATTCGTGTACGTCGATCAGTCTCCAGCAAAAGCAATCAAGGCAGTGAACTCGATGTGAGAACATCTCAGGAGTTCGATTTATCTAGATCCGTCTCCTTCTGATAACCATCTTTTCACGTCGATGCAGTCATATTCAGCAGATTAACGGTTCCGCAATGTTGAAGGTCTGCGAAAACGGGTAAAACGGGTAAAACAGGTAAGTGGCAACGAGACCATAGATAATGATAGTGAATATTTAGATCATTAAGCTTTGTAAGGAGTGTATTCTGAATAAATTTGGATTCTATGAATGCAAATCGGTAGAATTTTTTAACACACCTAATATACATTATATAATGTGAAGGCTTTGGCGTATCGTAGCATGTTTCTCCAGCCAATCAAATAATATTTATAAATAATTGCATCGTAGTTTAGATTAACATATACGTCCATGGATCGTAAGCTATGAAGAATGTTTTGCAATTTTTAAGTTATGTTCTTTTTTTCCCCTCTTTCTTTAAAAATTACCTAGACGGCAAGTACAAGCTTGAAGAACATGTAGATTGAATAATTTCAACTCACAATCTCACAAACAACATATCTGTCGAAAGTTAAATGATGGGAAAAGTTGTTTAAAAGCAACTTCTTCTTCTTGTGTAAAAAACTATATACTATTTCGATTTTATATTAAACTTTTCATAAAAAATATCTTTCAATTTTTTCTATAATATATTTTTCAATAAATTTATAGCGCGATAGAGTTTTTAATAAAGCCGAAAGCCTTAGATGCTAGTGCTTTAAGGCCAACCAAAGACGAAATTAAAAGCTATTGCCAATTACTTCATTTGATTATTAATTACAGAATTATTCTTCAGTAATTGGATATGCTATCGCGATGTTGCGAAACCTTCGCGGCAAAATGTTTCTTTAAAAATTTTGATTTGTGATTAAACTTAGCGCAGCCAGATAATAATAATAGAAATACGGAGATTTCTTTAGAAGATCATTGTCTTCTCTCACATCGTATTTCCCGGATGTCGTTATAGACTAAATTTTTTCTCCTCTAAACTAAAATTGACCCTTACGGGAAGAGATACATTTTTTTTTTGCTTTCACCAATCACTTGGGGACACCCCTATAGGTGCAACAGACTGATGGTCCGAAAGAAGACGAAGGAAATTATTATGGTATTCACCGATACGATACCATAAAATTGGAACAATCTCGTAAAGCGATCAGTGCGCTAAGTAATACTATATACGTAATTATCATTTTCAATAATTCCCTGCACTTTATTGACGCTTATGATAAGATGACTCTTACTCCTTAACGGAGCGCGTATTGTAGATCCATATCTAATGTAGACTGACCCCAAATATAAAAAATTCATAATATGCTCACGTTTACAGAGCACATTACGCCTACTGAGTCATTATTGAAATACTCTTCATATATTGAAGAAAGTAATGAGTATCAAGGGATTTCATCCAAAGCGAATATAATTTTTTTAATCTTATTTCGAGTGTTTCTTATGTGGCAAACAAAGCTTATTCATCTGCCATCAATAAAAATTTTCATCACCATCAACCCATAAAACGCACACCATCAACATCAACGTATCTTTCTCAAACATGTGAAGAAAATACTTTGTTGGTTTTAGCGCATTGCTCGAAATAAAAATATGTTTTATTTGAATTCTTCACTTTTCTCGTCGCTTTTTATTTATTTTCTTTAAATTTCCTTCTTTTCTTTGATCGTTTTGTTGGCCACACTTTAATTACCAAAGCTGAGGTAAATTTTATGTAACGCAGACATACGAGAAAAAGATGAAAATTTCTAAAGATTTACGGCCAATAAAATAAATATTTTGTATATGTGTGCACATATCATACGTACCGTTAATGTAGCCGACCACGAAGTCTCACCACTTTCCGATGAAGCCGTGCAAGTATACAGGCCAGAATCGCTTAGTTGTAAATCTTATGTTAAAAAAAACAAAAGAAAAAGAGTGGAAAGAAGCACATAAAGAAGAGTGTAATTTTAAATTAAATAAGAATCTTATTGGCTTCGTAAAACATTTTTGGTTTTTCCATTGCGTTCATATTGCTGTAATGTTTACCGTTTATTTTTAACGATCCTCCTTGGACTATAGTATAACGATTGCCGCTATGCAGAGGTGTACCATCTCTATACCATTTAACACGCGGTATAGGATTGCCCGACGCACGACAGGGCAACGTGGCATCACTGCCTTTAGGTAAAGTCTGATTGGAAGGACCAATTTGTATAATGGGAGGTGGGGTGTCATCTACAGAGGTAACCTGTGGTAACCAAAAATTTTAGTAGTGAAATTTTTTTTTATTTTTTAATTTTTTTTTTATTATAACACAATGAAATTAATTGGCTGATGTTTTAAATACCTGTAGAAATGCTCGTATCGTACTGGAGTCGACCACACTAAAAGCTGAGCATACGTAGTAACCGGCATCGTCCTTTTGCACCCCATTAATTTGCAATGTACCTTCCACGGAAATATGTAAATGACCGTAAGAGTTATTGGGAAACATTAGAATCGAGGAACCCTCTTTCGTCCAAAAGATCGAAGGAGGAGGATTGCCATCAGCAACACAAGGAAACAGGGCGACACCGTTCAAACCCAGCTTTTTATCTTGAGGCTTAACAATGAAAGTGGGAGGAGCTGAATGGAAATAAGTGGATAACAGAACAGTAGTTGTAGACACAATAAAAGTTTATCGTTTACCATGCACTGTTAATGATGCTCTCGCACTTATTTGCCCCACGTTATTGTGAGCTTCACACACATAAGTGCCCTCATCTTCGGTTACTATATTTGTTATCTCCAAACTTTTGTCATCGTGTTGTATCCGAGCCCTAGCCACCGGTATATTACCCTCTTCTTTTTTCCATAATATTTTTGGAGGTGGATCACCACCAACCGAGCAATGAAACTGAGCTGTTTGACCCACCAACAAAGTTAAATCTTGAGGTTCTTTCATAAAATACGGCTTAACTGTAGTAAAATGAAAGAAAAAAAAGCGAACAAAGAAAAGTTGAAACACAAAGTCCATGAAGTGAGCAACAATTATTATTTTTATTATATGTTCAAAATAGCAAAAAACAAAAAACCAAATCTTTGAATATTTGCCAAGAAATTAATAAAGTTTTCTTTTGAACTTCTTCTCCTCCTAAAAATATATTCTTGACGCTTAGACATGTTAATATTCATTACAGGATTTTCTCCTAACGCTCTCTGTCTGTTTGTATGCTTTTATGAATATATTGTAAGTGTATGTGTGTATGCATCTGTGCAAGAACTTTTTGGTCAATTAGAGGTTTGTTTAAGAGTTGAAAACTTTACTCGTTATAAACTTTATTTCAAATATTTTATAAGAACGGCGGGCATTTTCCTTTCGTTCTAAAAGTCAAACTTTAATAAAATTGTTTTAAATTTGAATATTTAACAAAAAAAATTGAAAATTTTATTGCATTTCGCGAAAAAAAAGTATTTCAAGAATATTGGCGTTTACTTTGCCACTTTTGCTGCGTGCAGTTCGTTAGCGTGAGAAGAGAGAAAGATTTCCTTTCTTCTGGCTCTTCATTTTCTTTCTTCTGCTTTTAATGCACTTCGGTTTACTTCACTTACTCAATATTGCTACGATTTCATTAGATGGCTTCAATAACAACAACAACAACGACAACAACAACAAAAATAACGAAATATGTATCGACTTATAATACAATATACAGCATTACAGAAACAATTACAACAATTTCATGAATAGTTTTCCCTATCTCTTTTCCTCTCTCAGCTGTCTTTCTCTATTCTCATTTCTATTAATTACTTTCGAATCTCATTGACTGCACTTTTCGTTATGTTTTTAAATTAAGTTGTCCTTTGCAGGAAGTCAAAAAAATGCCAAAGGTTTCATCGTTCTACTCATTATAGCCCACACCGCTTGTGGTACAAGGGTATATTAAGTTTGTCCGAGTGTATGCAGTACCATAAGCAGTTAAAATAACCCAATCCATTCAGAAAGTCATTCTGATCTTGTCTGTCGGTCCGTCGGTCCCTCTTGTTTTCTTGTAGCCAACCTGCAGCATACTTGCATGTGGTACACTGAGGTATTTTGGACCAACAAGCACTGATATCGGGAACGTTTCGCATCGGATGACCTTTTCGATCACTTGCTTTATAAGGTCCTCTGTTAAGAAGCCGACATATGAATAAATGTATGGTGGTATCGGATATTTAACGGTGGACTTTGGCCCACAATCGTGTTCTTGCTTATTTTCATTGTTATTTAGGTAAGAAAAATTTGATTTTTTAAGCTTGTTAAAGAAAACAAAATTCAATCCTGTTTTTGTATACTTTGGTTATTATGCTCAAAATTTTGTATTTTTAATCGAAGAAAAAGACGTCCTCTAGAGATTAATAATAACAGGGTACCGGAGAGTTTGTGTTTTTGTTATATTTGCTTTTAATTTGTTATACAAAAAAAAAATTGGAAAACAATGAGAGTTCGACTAATTGGGAAACGTATGTTCACTTCATTCAGTTCAACTCTGAAAAATTGATATTTAGTACTAATGCCTCTAATGACTTCCACCCTGTACATTATATGCACAAAGCAACTCTTTGTTTAGTTGGTTAGCGAAGTTACATAGTTTTTGTTTCTCATACCTGCGCATTTCGACTGTTTCTGTGATTCTATAGAAGTTTCAATATTTAATTTAAGGAATAAACATTTCGCTAACCAGAGTTCTTTAGTATCCGAGCTTTTTTTAGAAATCTCTTAGTATGAAACTTTTGGGCAGAAACAATAATTCTTTCACCTAAAGCCTAAAAGAGAATTAGTGAATAGAGCTTAGAAAGAGGATTTCTAGATGTAGCAAAATAAATCGAACATTGAATATCGAAAGGATCTTTATTTGCACCGATTTGAAAACCGTAAAACTCATTTAAAGTATAAAAATTTCTTTCAAAAGCTAATTTCAGGCACTTATTGCCGCATATACGCCAATAAGACGTTTCAGTTTATTCGCAAAAATCACTTCAGTAATTGTAAAATACGTTTAACTGGAGTCCATTCATTCATTCATTTATTCATTTTCATTTTTCTCGATAACAAAAGATCGCCAAACACATCAAAACATCTCTATCCTTACTATCTGTCAAAAACTAACAAAAAAGCAAAATGACCGATAATGTCAATATATGCTGTGGATATGTACACACATAATAAAATAAATAATAAAATAAAAAAAAAATTCGAAAATCGAGTGCACTTAGCTCACGCAATAACCTTTTTATTTAAGCACATTTCGTTCAATCGTTTTACATAGAAGACAATTTTCAAAATATCCTAAGGAAAATGATCGTTTGAATTAGCTTTTCCCACAGCACAGCTTTGATTGATTTCTGAGGCCGTAACGCATGGCTTCTGCGATTATCATCTCACCATATTGTCGCTACGGCTAAAAGGCTTTGAGACCAATAGAGACTTCGTCGAAGTCGTCCAACAACGATCAAGTTATTTTCCCGTATCTTTCTGACCTAGTCCTGCGAAGTCGTCGAAATGATTCAGGTTCACTGGCACTGAATGCCTCCTTCCTACTGACATCAACAAACGAAGGTTATTAATTAAAAAATGCAGATGGAAAGTGTCAAGTTCGACCCAATACCCTTTTTAATAAAGGTGATACATTCCCGTGCACGTAGCAGGTGGTCTTCGAAGAAGCAAAGTTGGCACCAGTTTTGGTCCCACGCATAGCTAAATAATACTCATAAGACATTTCACAAAGTACAGATAAGCTAGAGCTAAATTCGGAAGACGTTGGTACAATTCTGTTCGAACTGACGAGTAACGATATGGCTGGTAAGGTGAATTCATGAAAAGTTACGAGAAGAAGAAAGTCATTGACAACGAGGAGAAAGGTGTTTAACCCAACGTGCATGGATTGATGCTTGAACACTTTCGGTTGAGTCTGCAGCAAAACCTCGCGGGGATCTATTAATAATAAAATAACTGAGTCCATAGCAGCCAAATTATATTAAAAACAAGTGATTTTCAAAGTTAAACGCCACAGTCAGTAATGAAATCGTGTCTAATAGCGACCGTTTAGCCAAAGCAGAACAACGTAGTAGAAGAGGAAGAATGTGCTTTTAAACACTACAATAATAAGAGCAAAATTTATAAAGATATATGAAGAAGTGTCTTCACTTCACCGAATTATGCTGTGTAAGCATAAGTCTGGGCTCGGAAACAAAAAAATATTGTTAAAAGAGCCGATGGAAGCCTTACCACTCATCTCCGGCTTAGGAATGCTGCGTAAGCAGAAGCTTTGACTTAAATGCTGAGTCTAAGTACCCGACTCTTGAATAACCTCTAACAAGCTTACGTATTATTTTAAGCGATGGTTGCCAAACTCTGGCACAATTTTCTTATTTATTAATAACAGATAATGGATGAGCCTATGTAGCCGTGTTTTACAGAATCTCAAAAGCGCTCACGTATTGGTTTGAAGTGGTTTCTTACTTACTTAATAATAAACTTGAAAACGAATGAATAGTGCACAGTTTCTACTGCCACGGTGTAGACAGGCCAAGTGTTCTTTTCTCCTCAGAATTCAACAACTAACCGACATCACAATTTCTGTCTTAATCTTTCAAGGAAAATTACAATTCAGTTCACATATCATTTGTACCGTCACTACTAATCACCGATGTATCACATACAATTTCCAGTTTCTCTATACTCTATCAATCAATAATAAAAATTCAAGTCACAAATGTCTGCTTTATCTATTATGTCCTCAATGCTGGCAACTACCGTTTTGCTTGCTTACCTTGTACAATTAGTTTAGCATAACTGGACTCTCGAGTGCCGACTATATTTTGAGCAATACACCTGTAGTTGCCTTCGTCAATCGGTTCGACATTGCTTATCAATAAATTGCCACCATCCACTATGCGTATACGTGATGTGGTTCCATAAGATTTTGTCTTTAAATCATCCAACGGTACGCCATCCTAAGGGTAAAAGGAAAACAACAAGAACAGACTGAAACTCGAAAAGGTGATTTTTATCATAAGACCTTTAACAAAAAAAAAAAAAAAACAATGAAATTTTAGTATGTTTTTCTTTTTTGTTTTTTTTCATTTTGCATAAACAGCATAAATCTTTGTACATAATTCATTTGTCTTTTTAACATAAAATTCTCTACGTCGTCGTGTAACCTTTTAAACTTACTTCCCTGTCATCCCCGTTAGCGATGTTGTTTTGATTTTTATATCAATTTTACAAAAGAAATTATGCTTAAATTTCATTTTACTTAGCGTAACATAAATTTTGCATGACATTTCCATTTGTGTTTGTTACGCTCATACATACCTTTATATATATATATATATATATATATATATGTATATATATGCAATGGCACGTAATGGCATCAGTATATGCTTAAGTATCATTTGCATTTATATATGTATATATATATATAGACAGACGTAAAGTATAGAAAGAAATATTTCACTCACTCTCTCCCTGTCTCGCTCCGTCTGTCTAGCATAGCATAAATAGAAAACTATTACACCTGACAGTACATATGCTAACTTTGTTGCCAAAAAACAAAACTAAGCAGCAAAGAAAAGAAAAGAGAAAAATAATAATAATAATAAAAAGCAAAACACGAAAAACTATGAGTGCATGAGTGTATACACATTCGTGTGTGCAGCAAACAACACAAAAGAGCCAAAACGCATGTAACAAAAAGCAACTAAAACCAAATCCATGAAATTTATGCTGCATTTTATATACATATTTAAATGTACGGAATGACGTTGTTTTACGAACGATATCTTATTCACTTAAAATAGCAAAAATAACAACTGCAACAACAGTGACAATACTCTATGCACTCATACAAGCATACAAAGGAAATAAAGGAAAAAGAAATACTTAAAAACAAAGGAAAAAAAAATCGAGGGAAAACACATAAAATGTGCATACGGAACATTGGGACCTTATGCTTATGTAAAGAGTATATATTGCTCATACAAATGCACACATTTTAACTCGTTGCCCTGCGTGTGACTGTACGTTTGTGTGCTTGTTTGCACAAGCTAGCTACATACAAAACGCTTTTTAAAATGTATTCGAATGTTTTTCGAGATATTCGAAGATGTACGGTAATGCATGTATATATCTGTCTGTCAGAAAAGACTCGAATTGCTTAAACATATGTATATTTATGTTTATGTACAATACGTTTTTTTCTACTTTTCTACTTTTCTGTCATGCAAAACATTTGTTTTTCATTGATTTCCTTCTCTTCCGTCGTCATCATTATTAACATCATCCTCATTATCATCACGATCATTTTCATCGCCAGTATTCAGTACTCAACATATTCACCATCACTATAGCAGCTCTTAGCGTTCATACTTCTTATTCTTATTTATATATGCATGTTATACAATTGCTTACCTTCATCCATATAAGCGTCGGTTCGGGTATACCTTTTGGTGGCCCACATTCCAATAAAGCTGTCTCACCTTTGGCCACACGTGTATCCTTGGGTTGCGCTCGAAAATCTTCACGCAAAACTATAACGATAGCAACGAAAATTGATATAAATACTTTGGCGAACGTATGTATGCATACGCTTGGTATGCGCAATATATTCCATTATAAATTTTTTATAAAAAAGATTTCGAGAAGTACAATATACGTGCGTACGCTGAAAACGAAATGGTTATATGATAATATCACATATGTTGACATAATTCTTTTTTTTATTTTTTTAGTTTTCAAGATAGTTTCTTAAAGACTTTTCAAAAGTTATTTTACTTAAATCTCAGAATATCACGCTATCTGTCAAGAAAATTGGTCACTTGGTCAGTTTTACGGGGCGAAATATATTTTATTTATCCTTCCTTAACATTCCTACCCTCCACCTAGGTCTTAAGGTTATATAGTAATAGTTTGGAATCTATATCCTGTTAGACGTACGCGTTGGATTCATTAACACAATCGTATAATGTAGATCGGAAACTATATGCATCCGAGACTTTACCTAATAGTTCTAAATGATCTTTGAATGATTATATCCATCAAATAAAAGCTAACCACATTCATCCTTTCGTTGTAACACACAGATAGTTATATTTTTCGATAAATTGTATAAATTGAAGTGATATTAAATAAAATGGGGATTCACTTATCTGTCGATTTATTAAGCAGGCACGTTTTTGGGAAAATCTATAAAAAATGTGAAATGCAATATAAGGTTTCTAAAAAATGTACAGGTGCCTTAAACGAATAGTATGAATTGATTCAAAAATAGGTAAAAATATTATAGTCGGGAAAGGACGGATTTTAAATATATCCTAACATATCGCCTAAAACGATTTCTCAGTTATTTTTCGTTATAAAACAGCAAATATTATATCTTACTTCCATTTGAAGGGATACTTTTTATGAGAACGCCTGTAAGGACTGGAGCCCAACAAATAGGAGCTCAATATTGGTGCGAAGCAAAATATTGGTCCGCAAAATAGACCTACTGGATTCAAATTTTCCCCATATATTTCGTACGTCGAAATACTATTTTCTACCGATTTTCAACAAATATCGAGAATTGCGAAATTCTTTCCTATAAAGACATTTTGCAAATGGGTCATCATGTGGGGGTGCTTGGGAACGTGGCGCAAAACTTTCCATTTTCAATAGCCTTATTCTTTTTTATTTATTTAGTTATTACCTACGCGAAATACCAAGTAACATTAGGTATAATTCGACGAGACTTTTTTTCGATGAAAACACTTTCACTGTACTTCCAAACTTTCCCAACATTTTTAAAAATTTCAATCTAATGGTAACGGAGAGACATCAAGCAGACAAGAAGCCTAAATTGATTCAGAAAACAATTCTAATTCGATCGGTATAATGAAGGATAGATCGGCGAGCAAAGCTACGGCCAAATGACACAAATTCGAATAGATTCTATCGACAATTAAAATAATTACAGTTAACAGTTCAAAAGAAACATTTGGAACACAAAGGCTAAGTGAGCGCGACTACGGTCTTTTTCTTATTATTATGTCCAATCACCCAACGGATGTCCCCGATGCGTGCAAGGCGGCGATGGTCGGGGAGTCAGCGAATGGCCGCAGCCTAATGGGAGAGTTTATCTTTATCGATTGAGCATTTACTGTAGCTACGGTCAAGTATAGTATATCGCGCTAAAATTTAATTGCGCGAACGTCAACGTGATAGTCGCGTTTCTTAATAACTAATTAAGGATAAAATAATTACTAAATTTTATCGCTTCGTAATTTTAGTTGAGTCGGAAAATTAGTTCGGCAAAGCAAGCTTGTCGTCATTTTTAATCCAGAACGAGAACAGGTTTTTTTCTCGAAGCAATTCTAATTTGTTGAAAAAACCTTTAGAGAAAATGATAAGAAAGTTGCAATAAGCTTAAGGCGAACGCATATTATTATTTATAGAAATGGCGGTGGGTAGGTCGTAGCTTTCCACCCTTCGCTGAAATTTTTCAGTTGGCAAAGCCACTTTGTTGCTGGACCATGCTTATACTTGTGCTTAAGCTTTGAGAGGTCTTAATAAATTGTGATATTCTATGAGATGTACGGTACGAATTTGTCGATTGTGAGATGGCCACAAAGAATGGTTCGCTCTGCAAACACGAAATTATATCACCCAAAAAAAAAAAAGAAAAAAAATGTTAAAAACTGAAACCCATTCCCTTCTATAAGTAATAATAATGCTATAGGATCTACCTATTTTACATACTTGTGCTGCCTAAGGTAATTTAGTTCTGGACTCCACAACAGTTATGGTGACATTTATATATACACATATATATTTACATACAACATTTGTTGAGCAATAAATATTTAACAACTATTGCTATTTATTTGATGATAGTTCTGATTGCCAGCATAACGCATTAAACGCGTTATATGGATTGGTTTGTAGTCAAACTTAGCTATGAATTGTTTATTCTTGCATACGTGTGTTATAATACTTTAACATACCATTGTCCTTTGATCTAAGATTCTTTTGCTTTTTCCCTGATATTAATTGAACTTTAAATCTAACTAATAAGTACTAAGTACACAGATAAAGAAAGTTTCCTAACTTAGCGAAGAGAATGTTTCAGCCGATCCACAATTGTCACATACTTCATCCTTTTCAAGAGAGTTTATTAGCGAAATACCATGCCCATCTCAAAGCAGGAATGCCACTCCCAAAGGATTCCTTCGTTCTGATTTTCGATTTATTTCTTGCTCTATGGATAAGATGACGGTATTTTTGCTCCAGTGTTAGGCAGTTTATTAAGAGCTACCCCATGTTTAAATTTTAATGCTACATAATGAATACGCTATCTTTTGATATTTTCATAATGTCAGCGATCTCTTGCAACCTCCCTCTTCCAGATTATCCAGATTAATTTTCAGAATTGTGCATGCGACGTTTTTTACTGCGGCCACCTATTTTTATTTATTTACTTTGATGTGCGTAAGTTCTTGTTCAATTAGGATGCCACGGACAAATTGTTATGCTTGTTGACAGAGAATAATTGCAATAACACTTCAGGTCAAGACTGAATCGGAATAGGGTTTTTCTACTCTAACAAAATCATTAATCAAAGGAGGAAGGTTGGACGTTTTTCCTAGTGTTGATAAAAAAAAGGAGCAGTGCCACTGGTTTGATATTTTCCGTTTTGTAAAATAATATTGATTTTTTCTTCGAGGCTTTATCCATTTGTCAGTGCCGGATATCATTGACTGATACGTTACATAATAGTAATAATGTAGAGTTACTTATGTAGTATGTAACAAATGTGGCAAATAAGCAAGATTCGTTTTAAGCTGAGCATAGTCTTCTATTTTTATTGTTCTTTTTAAAATTTTTTTTAGTTCATTGTTTTCCTTCGCACAACAAAGACCATTAATTTTTCATTGCACTTATTATGTCCTATTATTTCTCTTTATTACAAATTTGCAATAAATAATTCAATGTTGACACTTAAATGTTTTATTTTATTTTTAATAACTATTAAGCATGTAAGAGCAGTATTCGAAAGAGCATTTTTCCATGAATATTGCTTATGGTGATCACATATTGCCATTGTTTTGAAAGAACTGAGGCAATCTTTAATAAAATTTCATAAGAAATCGTGTTGAATTCAAACCGTAATATACAAAATGACAGCTTAAAGCTTTTCTGTGCATCGTCAGCAGAAAAGCGTTTTTCTTAGTGAAAAGAATAAATCATAAATAAAAGACAAAAGCGTTTTTTTAATAATTTACAACAAATTCTCATTCAAATGCGCTTGAAGTGCACATTAGAAGAAAAAATGACTTAATATTTCGCCAACAATAGCGCATGCACGTGTTGTGATACACAACATACCTGTGTTTTTACGTAGGTGGCGTAGTTTCTATAATCGTTTTGCTTACAAGCGCAATTCGAAGGTAATTAATTGATAATAATTATATTATATTAACAGTAAGATATTTTGCTAAATAAAACTGAACAAATATTGTGTTAGTTATTATCCATTCAAAATTCCACGAAATGTAGAGAAACACTTTTCAGGTTACGTTACATCCATCATATTTACAGTGGTGACCAATTAAATTGTGTACACACGCAGATAGACTTCGTTTATAAAAAAAACTCTTTTTTTCCTCAATCTTTTTTTTTTTTTTGTGTGTTTGCTTAACTCATTATGGCGCACGTGTAATAAGTACATACAAAAACAAATATATATATATTTTTAATTGAGTTTAGCTTAAGCAAGTATGTACCCTTGTCATTGAACACCTACAGGGAGAAGTGTGATTCATCGGCATCACTTTACAGTCCGTTACAAAAATTATTTTATAAAGGAAGTTTAACCTTTAAAAGAATATAATTTAATTAATTCCTTCACCCTCCTTAATGAGAATATATGCGGCTGTTTAACGTAGGCAAATGTATAAAAAAGGCTGACCTCGACGATCTTGACGATTGCATACGCAGCAGCTATTACTTTACTTAGCGCACGATTGGATTGGACGATTGCGCATGAGTAACCGAGTTGATAAGAATTATTGGAAGACTTGATGAGCTCTTTGAAGTGTCTATCTATCAATCTATGTATATCATAACCCTTACGTTTCCTTATGTATATTATATATAAATCATATATATATAGACAATTTTGGAAACTTTCACCCGTCGACTTACTAGATTTGAGCAATGCATAGCGTCTGCTTAGTTACCTGAATGCTTGACATTCTTCATAGACGTAAAATGGAAAAAATTTCAGAATATCTTACACATAGACAATTAAATTTGGGCGACGCCGATGTTACTCATCCATCTTCCGTAGTCAATATCCAAAATTTCCTGTTAGAAGTGTCGAACTTTAAAAAAATTTACTAAATATCCCAACTTTCTGCCTACAAATTTATCTGCTTGAGAAGCCCGTATGCATAAAAAAAGAGAAATCGGAAAAAACTTAGGTATGGTCGATGTGTAGCCGGGTTCAAATCTCAACGGGGTAGAGTTTCCTTTGCCCGCAGCTACAGGCAGT